GTACGGGGTGGTGGTAAAAATAAATTCCAGGGTATTCTCTGCTCGGCCGCTCGGTCGCCGGTGAGTGGGGAGGGAGGAGAACGGAGAACGGAGAACGGGGTTAGAAAATGTCTTTTTTAGTCGACAGCTAAACACTTTTCACATGCTCTCTCGCGCCCTCCCCTTCTTCAGTGACATAATAAACCGAAACTGTCAGTGGCATGCCCCATGCTGCAACCATATCCTGCCATCCCTTGCAGCGCAGAGAGAGAGGGAACGGAGGGGCCAACTCCAACACACAAAAGGCGTCGCAGTGTATTTTTTCCCCATTTTCTCTCTCCTGGCCTGGTCAGTGCAAAAGCAACAAAAGAAACAACCCGAATGAAGGGTGCATGAGCATGTTGAAACATGCAACTCCCCAGCCCCAGCCCCAGCCCCAGCCCCACACAACCCACCCAACCGACGCGTCGGCTTGGCAAGCTCCGACACCTTTTTTTGGGAGCTCAAAAGTTGATTTCGCTTTCGCCTGAAGCCACAGAGAAACAGAACAGAAACAATCAAATTCAGCTTAACGACGAAGCACTTGACTTACATACGACAGCAGAAGCAGCAGAAGAGCAGCAGCACACACACACACAGGCACTCCAAGACACACAAGGGTGGAACACTGCAACACACAGATACAGTTCTTGAAAGGAAAACATCCTTTGAGCAAGAGAAATCGAAGCAAGGACTCCCTCGGCATGCTGTCCAATAAAATGTTTTGTGTCTATACCCTGGGAAATGTCTCTCACTGCCACTGGAAGTATCTACCAATTTAGCGGCCAAATGCCTCTTTGCAAATCTAAATCCGAGTCGATCCAGCGATCACATAAATAGAACATGAAAAACACTGTTAGTGCATCCATCCAATGAAAGATGTTTGATTGTTCCAACTAGCTATACAAAAACACGTATGCCCATTCCTGGAATATATCTGCAGAGCTTTTCGCAGCCACTGACTTTGTCTCTGACAGAAAGGGCATCCAAGTGTGCACCATATTTTAGGGAATCGCTGTGGGAGCTGTGTCCCTGCTGCCACTGCACATAGTTGGCTGTGTGTAGTTTTTCGCTCAAAGTTTTCTTTTGATTTTGTTTTTCTTTTTCTCCTGTGGCTGTAACCCACTTTACAACTTCCTCAAGTGCTGCTGCTTCCTACAGCCGATGGCGGTATAATCATAAACTGCTGGCACCTCAAATGTATGTGGCTAGGCTGCTTTGGGAGCATGAGATGGGGAATGGCATTGGAGAGATGGATGGAGAGAGCGAATTATATTGCATTTTGTATTGATTTCAATTACCATTTTCCTCCTGTGCTCCTTTGTGCTGCATGTTGCAAGAACATCATCATGGTAATGATTGTCTAATTGCCAAATGTACAACAGGAAAATCTATGCAACTCAAATTCTGATTTGTGACTGCCACGTGCCACGAGCCACGCGCTAGGAGCCAGTAGCAGAGTTTCCTCCTTTCGTAATCTTTTAAAAATGTGATTTTAATGTTTTCTTAATATCCCTTTCGGAAGCCGCACGCCGCACGACACACGCCCACACACCTTTTTCCGAACTTTTTTCCAACTTTTTGCTGATATGAAAACTCACTTTTGAGTATCTAATTCGATATTTATGTGGTCTCCACCCAAAATATCTTCCAGTCGCTTGTGAGAATATCCCCGTACTTTTCTCTGCTGCTGTTGTTGCTGTTACGGCATGAAACATTCCTAAAAATGTCAAATTATCTTGTAAATATTGCGGCATTTGAATTTTATTTGCCCATGGAATGGAATTTAATTAATGAATGGATCACCCTGCGGCTCCCCTGCCCCGTGTAATAGCGAATATTGCTGCTTACAGCCCGCATTAGCCACGCCAAGGAATTAAAAGCCAATTAAGCGGCAGGACTTCTCCTCATAATTCACATGAAAGTCACAGGGAAAAAAATGCAGCCGCGCGCGCTTCTGGCCAATGGCCATAAATGCCAATCATTGCAGGAGTCAGAGTGCAGGAGTCAGGAGCACGGGGCTACAGAGAAAAGAGAGTACAGAGAAAAGAGAGGAAACAGCGAGACGTGAAAAGAGCAACCAATTGAGACTTGCAAAGGGAAGGAGAAGGAATAAAAAAGGGCAACAAAATAACAATTCAAGCTTTTAATTTCATTGCTTTTGAGCACTCCCCTGGGAGTCGCATGATAAATGAAGGCCCAGACGACCCAGAGCCAAGCCTTCGAGAGAGCAGGAAAGGAACCTCCCAGACAGGCAGACGTAGAAGTGGGGCACCCAGCGCCCTCGGGGGCAGGATGCCGAGCAGTTCATTCACACGTTCACTTGTGTAAAATCGATGGAGGGAAAGGGAGCTGGAGAGTGGATTCCTCTAATGGGAGCGGTCTGTGTCTGTGTCTGAGAGCAAGAACCAGCAACAGGAACAAGCTTCTGGGGCCTAATTGGCGGTGGATCCATTCTTTTAAAGTAGAAACCGAAACCAGAACCGATTCTGCAGCTGCTCCTGCTTCTGTGCTTGCCCGTGGAGCATGAACATAAACGAAACCAAAAGAACAGTCGTAGGTTATTCATTGGACTGTCAAAACAAAAATCGTGCAGATAGTTGCCGCCGCCCCAACTGCCTGCCCACGATGATCCACTAACCAAAAGGACCTTCCAAAGTTTTAGCCGCAAAAGAAAAGGCAGAAGAAAAAGTAGATGTGGCTGAAACACTTACAAGAAATACCCTTTGATTATGGTGTTATGGAAAATACAATTTGCGAAATTAATTTTATATATTTTATATTTATTTATATTTTGTATCATCTCCACGATTCTTTATTATTCGTCAATCAGCCTCCAAGTATATTTTTGTTGCCAAAAAACGCTTCTTTGCTGTTAAGCCATTTGTCGTAGAAAATAACTCGGTAAGCCCCTCGATCTTAGGCTGGGTATTCCTTCAAGGTGGCGAGGCGCTTGATATTGTTTTAATGAAATTCGAATTGATTCCACAAACATCACCACACCCCCGCCAACGCCGCCCAAGTGGCCGCCATTTTGTATTTGCCTCAGCATTTTAATCTAATTTCAATGTTCTCTCCCACGGAAAAAGAAACAACAAAAAAAAGGAAAGGAAAAGTGAAAGTGAAAGTGAAAGTGAAAGGCAACTAAGCGTAAACGCTGAAAAGTTTTCCATGCTGCGGGAAACAAAAGGGGGCGAGTGGGGCAAAAACACACACAGAAATGTTTTAGGTAGATTCGCGTGCAGCATTTTGTGGTCAGTCGCTGTGCCCCACCACACTCCATCTGTGCGGCAACTCATCCGGCTGTCAAAGCGGTAAAGTTAACGCCAATTGCCAAGAAAAAATACAAATAAAAACAAAACAAAAACGCACTCAATTAGCTTTGATTAAATGGAAGCAACGCGGGGGGGGGAAACATCCAACCTTGGGGCCATTTCAAAAAAGGTATTAACATGCCGCTGACAGGCGGGGCTTCTTGACGGGGCTTAGTCCACTTCGATTGGCTATAAATAAGGCTTAAAGCTGAATGAATTATAGAATCAGCAATTCGAGTAGAGTTATACCTACAGAAAGAGTCGCAAAAATGTCTCTGGCTTTAAAATGTATTCCCAAAAGTGTCTTCCAGGTGGCATTCTCCAGCGGCCAATGTGTGGCATTGAGGGCTTAAGGGTTATTGTGGAGCTGCTGTCGTTTTATTAGGATTTGATTTGACCCCAAAAATGCTTGCCTTTGACAGCTGCTGCTGCTCCTGCTGCTGGCTCCTTCAGTGCTTAACTATGCTGCCACTGGCTGCTGGATGTTGCAAGGGTCTGCTGCTGTAGCTGCCTTTTCATTTGCATTTTGCAGTTTGCTTTTTTGCGCCTAATTAAGAAGGCCAAACGAATGCAGGCAGCGGACGGACACAGGGACACAGAGACACAGAGACACAGAGACACACAGACAACGGACAGGATCTGCTGCTGCTGCTGATGCTGCTGTATATCCTTTGAGGCTGCCACTGGCTGCGCAGCGGCTTCCCACGGCTTATTATCTCATCTAATTTACGGGCTTTCCTTTCTGCCCCTGCCCCAGTGCTTTTTAGCCACTCGTTTTTCCACTCGCCGATTCAAACTAAATGAAATCAAGCCGTGTAATGAGCAAAAAACTTGTGCAAAAATGTGGCCTGCCAATGCTCCAGTCCCTTCCCCACTCCGCAGTTCATAATTTTCTATTAACCCCATCGCCCCACTGCATGGCGCAGCACAGCCTCCTCCCCCTTCGTCCACCGATAGTACAGTCGCTGCTACATTTTCATGAAAACAATTTCGCGCATTGCGCTCGCTGTAATTTTTCCGTTTTCCGTTTTCTGTTTTCTGTTTTATTTTTTTTTTTGGTGTTTGGCTGGGGACCGAATGGCACGAGAACTTTAATTGTTGCATACCCCCGTCGTCACATCCCACAATGCCTGCTGGCCACTCCCACAGGGGCGGCCCCAAGCCGGCGAGGACAGCTGTGTGTGTGTGTTTCCTGTTTGGCTCCTGTGGTCCTGTTAATGTGTCCAATGTTCTGGTTAACAAAACCAATTTGCCTTAGTGGATTTTTATGTTGCAACTCCAGGACTCCAGTCCGGACCCAATCCTGTACTGTATGCGGTTTTCCAGGGCCCCTCAGCCTACCCCGCGATCTCATTGTTTGCTCTTCTGTTTGTCCATTTTTCGGCTGTGTTTGTCGACAATTTGTTCCTTTTGTATTTCTGTATTTGTGAAACTTTTTGGCTATTTTTGTAGGTCGGGACTTGCCTTTAATTGCATTTGTTGTTGCACTTTTCTTTGGGGTGGGAGAAAGGCTAAAGAAACGGGTCTGGAAATTTCAGAAAGGGTATGCTTGAATTTATTTATTTTCTAATCTCTAAATGAAAACTTCCATGGCTCATATCGCACTCTCATTTGTATTCTTCTTTCTTCTTTTTTCAGGCATAAACTAAACAACAAACGAAGTTCCTGAAACGCCAGCAGAAGAATCTAGAGATAAATAGATCAAAGATGTCGATGAATTGGGCCCTGTATTGGGGCATAATGTGGATGCTGTCAGGTGAGTTCCCTCAGCTCTAAAAACAGCTGTTCGGCAGCCCTCTGCTAGGGACTTCATGTACTTTTTGTTCATTCGCGTCACGTAAAAACAATTTCATTGGCTGGAGGGATGCTAGGGCTAGTACTGGGGCTGGGGCTGGGGCTGCTGCTGCTGCTGCTTTCGCGACCCATAGTCTGTGCAGAAATTGTTTTATATAATCTACTGCTGCACATCACATCTCTTCTTTCCATCTCTATTTTATATAAACTGAAATTTAAAATAACATGCCGTAAGCGTGCTTTGATTATTGCAGGAACATTTCAGCGCATTGCAAATTGCAAATTGAGCAGAAAAAAGGCAAAGCCCCCGCCCTGTCGCCCATTCATGCTGAAGTTGACAAGGTTGACAAGGTTGACAAGGGAAGGCGTGGGGCACGGGGTGGGACATACATACATATACAAACATAGGTGGGTTTTACACAATGTTCGTTAAAATATGAGCACTGCGAATGCAATGGCAATGGGAAAACATGTGCACTAGGCGGTGGTTCTGCTTGATACTTCGATGAAGAGATGTCCTGGAAGATGTCTTTGTAGGAGTACAGTATCCTGTGTGTGTGTATGTGTGTGTGCACACATGCGTTTGTGCATTCTATCTGAAATGTGAAATTCATGCAGCAATTGAAATGCATAAAGCATCACAGAATCCCTGCATCCCTGCATACGAGTTAGCATCTCCAATAGCTCTCCTCTTTGACAGAAGGTAAATACCATTTAAGTGACTTTTTCTTGCGGAAAAAGAAACCGGCAAAGAAGGGAAAACGAGAAAAACGAGGGGGTAGAGAATCAGAGAAAAAGTCTGTGATTTTCCTTTCCCCATACCACTGACAAGACCCGAATCCATTTGATTGCTTAATAAATTTATTTCATTTTTGTTCCCATTTCCATTTCCTGTTTTTGCCGGGAAAAAACATACCCCACACCCCCACAGAGGTCACACCCAACTTAGAGGTCACCATCCCCGTTGGGGAGAGCTTTTTCGGATGAAATTAATGAACAACTCAACGGCTGGCAGTGGCAATCAATAAAATGTCAAAGCCCTGGCAAAATATTTGGTCTGATTAAAGTCTACAGCTTAGCCACTGTCACAGCGTTGCGTGTTTTGTGGAGGCGCCTCCACCAGAGAAAGCGAGAGATCAAAGGGCAGGGCTGATTGTAAGGCAAGCGCCAAAATGGGGCAAGTAAGCAATAAAAGATGGGGCAAGGGCAAGGGCAAGGGCAAGGGCGAGGACATTTGTTGTGGGAAATTATCAAGAAAGCAAAAATCCAATTTTTGTGACCTAAATGCCCGATAAACATTATCTGTAGCCAAGTTTCCTTTCCACTTGAATGTTCATTGTTCAATTTATGGCATAATTGCCAGCATAATTCTCGAATGTCAAAGACATTGTCGCCCCTACAGAGATCCTTTCCACGGCTCTCAAAAGCCTTGTCATGGCAAGAGAACAGGGGGGGGGGGGAAATAAATCAAAATGATTCCACCTCTGCCACCACAACCCAAAGCCAGAACACTCTCCCCCCCCCCCCCCCCCCCCCCCCCCCCCCCCCCCCCCCCCCCCCCCCCCCCCCCCCCCCCCCCCCCCCCGACCAAGCTGTTGTCCACTGGCACAACGAGTTAAATAGTTCCATAATGCGTGGCAGGGAGAGAGACAGCGAGAAATATGAAAGATGCCACAAGAAATGCCATCAAATGAAGTCCCTCGCTGAGTGCGGGCGGCTGCAGAAGATGATGGAAGGAAGGAGAGCTTCTTAGTTGAATGAATGAATGACTGACTGACCTACAGAATGATGGAGTGAACGACTTATGGAATGACTTACAGGCTGATGGAATGAATGACTTACTGACTCGCGCAATGAGTGACTTAGTGGAACCCTGGAAAAGACGCTGATGCCATTTATAACCAAGAATGGGGTTGGCTTTCATTTCGTTTCGTTTCGTTTCGTTTCGTCTCGCTGCGAGTGGTATGATGAGCCATGGCGGGCCATTGGGTGGGTGGGACATGGCTGTGCTGCCTCCCGCCTCCTTGATGCGATAAGAATAATTGGAATGTCAGTTTAGAAACGCGCACGTAAAATGCGAACGCAAAGCGACATCCACATAGCCACAGAATCGCAGAGAGAACCCGCGAATAGGATGTGTCTGATGCTCCTGCTGCTGCTGCTGCTGCTTCTACTACTGTTGCACATGTTGCAAGGCGAGCAGTAAATATGGCACAATAGCATACTAGTTCTCTCGTCATCGCTGGCGCACTTGGGTGAACAATGACATAAGTCTAATGACAAGCAGAACGACGACTACGACGAGGACGAGGACGAGGACGACCGCAAAGCCACCGCCAGGAGCAGCAGCAGCAGCAGCAGCAATAGGGATCTGTGTATCTGTAGAGCACCCATCAAGCAGAGTTTCCAGATGCTGCTGCTGCTGCTGCTGCTGCTGTGATGACACTGACAACAATGACAACGCTGACATGACATGCAACGGAGCGGACCAATGCGGTGCAGAACGCAACCCAAAAAAAAAAAAAATGAGAAAGACTTTCCAAAATTGGACACAGCGGAATCTCATTTCGAGTTTGTAGCCATAAGGAAGCGTTAGATACTCTAAAATACCTTTTTTTTTAACTATTTCATTAACATAATTAACAGAAATGTGTAGCTCTTAATTGGTATTCAATTCCTTTGTAATTGAATTGATTTTGAGATATAATGATGTAAAATCTCCATCTCCACTGGCTTTTGGCTCATCCAACACTCACTTGCATCATTCTTCCGAAATATCCACACAAGATAAACACAAAGGAGTCTCTGGCAAAGAAATCAGAAATTTAACAGAGCGAACGGGAGCGCCAGACCCTGTCCGCTGAGGAGGAGAAATGCGGTAGTGTGGGGTACGTGAACGGTGGGGGAGGGTCGCTGTCTGAGCATAAATTTCGCTGGATGCTGCGGTCAGCAATATGCGTCCATGATAAACGAGCTGGGGATGGGGCTGAGGGTTTTTGCATGCAGTCAGGCTGCTCCATCATTGCGTGGGCGGACTCGCATGCACGACCGAGGACGAGCCGTGAGGAGAGATTCGAGCTGCCATTTCAGGAAGAGAGGAGCCACTGAGCCACTGAGGCGGCAGTGAGGCACTGAGGCATTCAGCCAGCGAGCCATGCCCATTTATCGTCTAAATTGAAATTGAAAATCATGCAGGCGCAACGTAGAGGGCATCCCAGAGCCAGGAGAAGGAGATTCTACAGATTGCTGCCACTCCTGCTGCTCCTGCTGCTGCATTTGATGGCCACTCCACCCAGGACTCTGGAGTTACTTGATTAGCTTGTTGCGCATGCGTTATGGGCGTGTTCAGAGCCACAACAACGGGAAAATGTATCCTGCACTGGGTGCCAGACACGCCCTCAAATGGATAGCGGTTCTGTCAACAACAGAAGCAATGCTGCAAAGGAGATCTTTATGGGACTGCCACTCCTTGAATGCGGCTGCTGTCGGTCCTCAATGTTCGGTGGCAAGCTTCTGTTTCTAAATCTGTATCTGGCAAGAGTGTCTCTTTCGTTGACACTTAATCCATCCAGAAGAAAATTCGATCCGCCACAAAATATGCCTTCAGATTGTGCTCTTGCTGCACTTTCAGACTCTCTCTCTCTATTTCTCAAAGAAAAATGACACGGAAATTATGAAAAGAAGCCAATTGAAAATGTAAAAATTGCTGAACTTGGCACAAAACTCATTTGACATTCAAATGGCAGCACAGCTGCCCACTCACTGCCTTCACTGCCACTCCACCCTTTGGTTTAGTTTTACTACTCTACAGATTTCCACTTTTTCCACTCATTTTTCTTGCTTTTTTTGGCTTTTTTTTGGCTTTTTTTGATAAATGTCATGGCTTGATTGGCTGCCAGAACGACCATTAGGCGGCAGGCCCAAGCCACTCGTCCAGAAGGGGCAGGGGGACAGGGGACAATATATTACACGCTTATATGCAAATGAGTTCAATTTCTGACCAACCGAAAAGGCATTATGTCCAGGGATGAATTCGGGGGCGAAGAAAATTGCCAACTTAGTGAATTATAAAACGGTCGCAAGGGCTGGAGCAGGGGTGGTGTGGTGTGGCAGAGGGCAAGCTGCAGAAGCGGAAATGTGTAGAGGCTCAAATTGAAAATCTATGCAAAAGGAGGCATGAGAGAGCGGCATGTGCTGTGAGGCATGTGAGCCAGAAACAAATTGCTGGCCAGCATTATGGATTGTGTGTGTGTGTGTGTGTGTGTGTGTGTGTGTGTGTGTGGTGTGGTGATTGCCTCTCCTTAAATTTGCATAAGAAGTCGCTTGAAATTAGCCAACAAATAGTTGATCGACTGATGCTTTACCCTGAAAATATATTATGAAGATCTGATTTCCTGTAAGTTTTGTGTGAATGATTGATTGAAGAATTCATTGCTGGTTCCTTTTCAGAGTGGAATTTCTTATTTGTTCCCTACATTTAGCCGATGTAACCGATGTTACCTTACATCCAAAACTTATGTGTACATTTATTGGCTTACGATTTCCTTAATGACTGTCAAGGGAACTTTTCCATTTTTTGACTCCTTAATCACTTTACTTTCTTGGTGGAGGATTAAGTTAAACCCTTTTCTGACTCATTTCTCTATACTTTGAGGCACCTTTTGGATGTGCTGTTCGGATGTTTGCCAAACTAAGTATAATTCTATTCCGGAACTAGCATTTCAATCAAAGACAAACTTTCAATTGGCAGTTTGCTTTCTCAAAACAGCCACTTAAATGCTAATCTTAGAGGGCAGCCCCAGCCCCAGCCCCAGATCCTCCCTGTGTTGCTCCTGCCCAAAAGGGCAAAGGCCAAAGCTAGGCATTAAAAAGTTTTTCCTCTTCAAACATAAAGATTGGCAAGTTCTTCTGCTGTTTTTTTTTCAGTCATAGATGCTCCACAGAGATGCTCCCACTCCTTCTCTGTGCTTTGCCTTTTACTTGTCGGCATTTTTGTGCATTTTATCAGGATATCATGCGATTAACTTTTACATAAATGCCTATCAGTCGCATGCCCCATGCTCTACCGGAAAGTTTTGGCATCTTGTGTGCACACAAACACACGCACATCACAGGCATATCAATGTCAAGTGAGAGCGGGAGTCCTTCTGGCCCCTGATAAGGCACATGGGCAAATATAGAAGAGAGAGAGAGATACTCTTGGCGGGAGGGAAACCCATCGAAGACTGCGCCATGCTTCAGGCTATGTTCCATATGGTGCCTTCCATCATTCTCCCTTCAGTATCCTTCCCATACTCCCACTCGTTGACAATTTTATTTGCATGAGCAGGACTTATGACGCATGACGGAATGGTTTTCGCATTTTAGCCGTCCCCACACATCCTTCCATCCTGAGCCACCTCTCTTCTCCGCTCTGCTCTTTATCTTCGCCTCTTGTTTGTTGCTTTGGAATTTTCGTGGGGAAATCCATCTCCCGTTTTGGCGTTTGCCAACTCAATTAAAGTGTCCTCACCCTACCCCATTCCCGGTGGCAATCATGATACACGGGCTGCGCATTGAATGTGCGGATATTCTTGGCACAAATGCCCAGCGGGTTTGCCACAGGCACGTAGGCATGCAACACGGATGCAGCAGCCGCAGAAGCATGCAGCACCACCGCGGGGCATGTCTTTCCTTGCCATTTCTACGATTCATCGATTTGATTGTGCCATAGACTAATGCCACGGCTAATGAATGATGAACAAGGATGAGGAGGAACAAACTTTCACTTCAAAACATGGAAAATACGCACCGAGACAGATAGAGAGCGAGGCTGTGGGTTGCCGCTCTTATTGGTAATCCCATTGACCCATTCAGCCGCACGTTTCCTTTTGTTTTATACTTTTTTTTGTGTGTGCTTGTAGCACTCCTCGTGTGCTAATAAATTATTGGTATTTGCTTTAAAAAACCATAAAATTGGCATGCCACATGGAGGTACGTGTACATCTCATGCCATGCCGGGCCATGCCCCTCGTGCCACCATTGAGGAGCCGCTTAAGTGCACACTTAGCACACAGCCCACACGCCGCTGTAGCCGTAGCTATTCCACATAGCAGATAGCATATGATAAATGTTGAAAGCAATGGCCACAACCGAGATCCAGTTCCAGTTGCAGCGATACTTTCTGCCCATGAAAATACCCTGTAGTTAACGGAGGGAAAGTATGGTGGCACCGTAGGGGCAACTGTCTGTAAAAACAAAAACTCTGGGTGCTCCTGGGTTCTTTTTTAATAAACAAGGTAGCCTCTTGTTCGGTAGGCCAATCACGACATTCGCTAAAGGACCTCAGCAACAGGTCAGGGGGAGCATGGAGCTCGAATTGCGTGGCGGTAACATAAAAATGCCCATTAAATTGAGACACAAATACAAAATAAAAACGCTTTGGGGGTTTTTTCGGGGTTTGGGTTTCGATGGCAGGTGGAGCATTGAGGGTGCACCCACTACTTTACGGTATATTTTCACTGGATTTTCGAATATGAGTACACACACACGTGAAAATTGTGTGCAAAAAGAAGTTGTTACATTCGTATTTCATGTGCTGCGTTTTTTGTGCCTGTATCGCAGAGCGGAAAGCGCTCGAACCATTCGAGTTTTCTTTTGGGGATATAAAGCAATCATATTTTATTAATTTCATATATAGACATAAATCTGATAAAATGTAATTGCTACGTGTTCCGTTTTTGCATGCGCCAACAGGGAATTACTGCGTGGTGGCAGTCATTTATTTTCGCAAAAACTTGATCAGTTTTTGTTATGGCTTTTGGCAACTAAAAGTCATTTTCACATATACTTTAATAAAATATGGGAAGCAGCAACAAATAAAAAATAGCATTTATGAAACTCTAATATTTATTTGTATTAAATATAAATACAAACATTTTGGATCCAGTGGTCTCAAAATAAGAACAATTTGCGATTTGTGGATGCACAAATCGAAATGTATGGAAACTCTTTAAAAATAAACTGGATTGATCATAAAAAAGCTTTGGATTTTGTTGCCATCTATTTCCTTGTGGAGTTGAGTGCTTTTTGGTTGTATCCAAATCGAAAATACATTCAAGCTGAGTGAAATGCAAAGTTCCAAGGGATCCACTATCAGTATTTAGATCCTCTAGCAATATCTTTGCTGTATGCATTTTTGATGATTGCTCATTTCCCTTCAATCTCAAAGTTTTGTTGTCATAAGTTTTAAGGACTTTAAGGCCTCATTCTGAGCACAAAAACAGGCTTGCAAATCAAGTTCTTCTCCATTATGCGGCACTTGGGCGTCTCCTCCTCAATGCTGCCTCTTATCCTGGCAATTGACAACTTAACGATGGCTCTGCTCTGTTCTGTCTGCCTCCTGGAATGTGTGGCATGCTCCGAAAAACATTATCACGCGCGCAGCGGGTGAGCACGGGTCTGAGTGGGGTGCAGAGGGAGCGGCGGTCTCCTGATGACATAAAAAAACAGCATAAAAATGCACACAAGACAAAGGACATGTCGGGGACTCTGCGATATGTGTGTTTAATAAAAAAATTATGAACTTCAATTACGATGGAGCAGAGGAGTCCCCAGTTCGCCAGCCTTCGAAGTGGAAGGCGCAGCAGGGACAGGAGGAGAGGAGAGGAGAGAGCAGGCAGCAGGATATTGAGATGGAGATTGAGGCGACGTCAGGAGACAGGAGGCGCCGCATCGAGTGCATAAAATTCTGAGCAAATAGCAGCGGAGCCGGCGGATAAGCGGCACGAGCCACAGCCACAGCCACATGTGTCTGTGTGTGTGTCGCTCATAACTGTATCCGTGTCTCTGCCTTTTACATGTGTGCGTGTATCCTGGGTGTTTGCATAACATAATTCGTTCCTGGCCAAAGTTGTAAACCCAAAAGCGAGGACATGCCAGAGTAAGGGTACTAAAAGAGGGGGGGCTTGCCATGTGAGAGGGGCACCTCGGCAGAAGCAGCTTCAGGGTGGCACAAGGGCATCGGGGTGGGGCGGCTGCTGCTGTAGACGCGTGCATGTGAATGGCGGCCATAAATCAAACGACGACAAGCAGTCGAAGGGCAGCGACCAAGGATCAGCGGGGCGGGGCGTGTTATCACCCCGCCCAAAGGACTGCCTTTAATTGGCTTTCCCTCGCACCAGGAATCCCCCACTTTCTCATCAGCATAATCGTCATTGTAATCGTGGAACAGAGGCGCACACAAAAGTGAAAAAATATAGCAGCAAAGCGTCCTCTTGGTGGGGCTTACAGCTGCATGCCACCACACACCATGCGCCACGTACAGATGGGCGGGAGGGAGCCAAACAACATATGCAACGGCAGGTGTCGCAAACGGAAGCGGCAGACATCAAATGGCGGCACTTAACACTTTTACAAAATGTCGTTCGCCATTTTCGGCGCGGCCATTTTCATTTCTTTTGGCCTTTTGCTTGCTCACTTTACACTTTTTGTTTGTTTTTCATTCTCCCGCTCTCTCTAGGACATGCACCTGTGAGTGTGACAGCTGCAAGCTTGGCACTAATCTCTTGTGCCCCTGCGTGACACTCTTTCCTTAGTCGCTTCCTTTCTGGTCACATTTTCATTGCGCTTCTCCTTCACAGAGAAGTGGTAGACTCTTTCAAGTGTGAGGGAGAACAGCACAATTTAGGGGTAACTTTAACTTACTCGAGTAGTATTCATAATTGGCTCTTTACAGTACTGTGCACATTGCAACTTGGACAATGTTTGTTCACATTTTTCTGGCTCGGTCCAGGCAGGATTTTATCTGGCAGCCACAGGCAGGCAGTCGTCGTCGAATCTTCCAGCGTCCTGTGCCCAGTCATTTTATCTTGAAAGTCCTGCTTCACCTCCAACACCCAGCACACCCAACCATCACTCCTGCCACGGAATATGGCATAAACAGCTTACAGAAAAACAAGCAGAAATCTGGGGCATATAATATGGGGCGTTTATCATTTAATTAATTGCCTTTCGGGCAATTTTCATTAAGTAATTTTCGCCTCTTTCGCTCTTGCTTGCTCTTCTGCTTCCCACCGCGCTTTTTCCTTTTCTTTCGTTGCATGCCAGACACACACAAATACGGCCAATCGCAGTGGTTGTGTGGGTGTGGGAGCAACAGCTGTGCCACATATTTATTCAGGGAAGAAAGAGTGTTCACTCCTTTCATGTGGCCGGGAGTGTGTGTGTGGGTCCGATCGGTTCCAAATTGCCACTCGTTGTAAAGTGGCAATTAACGCCACATGACGCTGTCAACAAATGGCAGTGCCCCACTCCACGCCAGTCGCCATTCTATTGTAAATTCGAAGCCCACTCTCCGGGCACTTGTTAAGTGCATTTTTGCAGGGGGGCACCCTTTCGGCCTGTGCTAATTTGTAAATTATTACTTGAGACACAAGCAGAAGCAGCAACATAAATGAACATGCCTCCAAGAGCCACACACACAAATATGAGGTGGAAACAATTTTCAACACACACTCACACGCTGCCTGCCATCCATTGAGGGCAGCAATTTTCCCATCAAAAATGTCAGTGGAGCGTCATTACGTATCGATCCGATCCGCCATCTAATGGGTTATTGTATGGAGCCCCTTGATAATTCGACAGAGGAACAAGTAGGTCGTGCAACTGTCTTATGAATTTATAATCAGCGCGAATTAAAGTAGAGCCCGAGTGGGAGAGATTTGCTCTATTGGTTCTATGCGCTTTCGAAAAAGGGGACACCATCGGAATTAGTTCTTTAAACGTGGTCAAATGTCTACCTTGCAATATTAAATCAAACCTTCAACCGCTCTTTTTCGTTTGCAGGCTCTACAGACAGCGCTTCGAAGCGTTTCTTTACAGACTTTTTGCAGGATTTGCCCACACCAGGAACCGGTGGACCCACCTTTGACCCCAGTGCGATCAGCAATATAACAGGACTCGTTGGCAAGACCGTTAAGATGACCTGCCGTGTTAAGAATTTGGGCAATCGAACGGTAAGTAAGGGAAATACATCTACAGAGAGAGAGTCCTGGGAGTGGGAGTGGGAGTGGGACTCGTGGTATGCTGTCAAGTTTTGTGTATAATAATTTTTAAGTACTTGGCCGAAAATAAAAGTAAAAGTAAAAGTTGCTGCAGTGCAGGGGAAACTTGTCAAAAGGCGTTACGCTTGACAGGGCGGTGAGTGCGCTTCCTCCGCGCAGTGGCAGCTGCAACATGCGGCATGCAACAGCAGCCGCTCCTGCTCCCGCTACCGCTCCTCTCGTGCTGACGGCAGCTGTCGCTCTGTCGTTTTTGGTTTGGGTTTTAGCTTTGCCCTCCGGGAGTTCGAGTGAAAAGTTGTAAACTCCTCCTGCCGCGCGACTACGCTGCCTCTTCCTCACTCTCTCTCTCTCTCTCTCTCTCTCTCTCTGTCGCTTTTGCCACTGCCACTGCCACAGCCCGCTTTTCATTATGAAAATGCAGCTGGAGATGCAGTTGCTGTTGCTGTTGCTGTTGCAGTTGTTGTTGCAGCTGTTAAACAATTAGCAAATTAAACTCTGAACTTTCAACTCACCCTCGCACTGGGCAGAGAGAATACACAAAGACGGAGAACATTTCCTGGCCCCCTTCCCCTTCCCTTCCCTTCCCTTCCATTCCCTTCCCCATCCATGCATCTGCGTATGAGTGACGTCCGATGGAGTCCAATCCCCGGCATTCCCCGTTTCCCTCCTCTTTTTTTAAGACCAAGTTTTTCTCAAGTGTCGCGCGCGCGGCCATAAAACTTTCAAAATTTTTACGCTTTGCTGGCTTATTAGGTGAGTGCCGTCCTGCCGTCCTGCCGTCCTCCTGTTGTCGTTCTGTTGTCGTCCTTTAGGGCCAAGTCATAGTCTGAGCCTTTGGCAACATGCCCCCATCCCCCCATCCCCCCATGCCCCATTCCTCTACTAACAAATTCCAAAAAAGTTTCGGCCTCTCGCTTCCCGTTTTAATTTCAGTTTGACAAAGTGAATGAATGAATGAATGAGTCGAAGCTCGAGTTTCGGTGCCCTTCCCCTTCCACTGTTCCCACCCCATCAGCACCGTCTCTGGCTACTCGTCGAGGATTCGGAGAAGGGAAGGCTCCTGGGTCTGCTCTATGTCAAGCGCAAGTTATGGACGCGCGTCCGTCTAATTACCGAGTCTCACGCCAACAAACGCCAATTAAATACGCGATGGAGACCCCGGATCGCCAGACCAGCAATTATCCCCATGCGCCCCACCAACCCCCAAAACTTTGCTGCATGACCGAAAACTATGCCCCACCCCAAGACAGGGGTCAGCTAGCATTTTCTCGGACTCAAAGATTCGATTAGAGCACTGAAATGTTATCTCTTCCGCATAAGAATCAAACAAATTCAACAGATTAAATATCATCGAATGATAAATCCAAAATTCTGGAAAAAATGTCTTAAATGTTTTTTTGCTGTTGCTTTTTTTGTGATAATTTGCAGCTATTTTTGTCTCATTTTGATCAATGAATAGATAAATATGCTCAATGGCAGACTCATGAACGTGCCACTGGAACTTTTGGTGCCACTTTGCCCCTTCCAAAGAATCTCAAAGCGGGTACCAAACATCACGTCGTTTGGGGGCATCATGTCTTCGAGGGCAAAGTCTTCGGTGGCTATGTCTTTGGGCCGTATATTACCTGAGTCAGTGGGCAGGAGGAGTTTTGGTAACGTGATAAGTAGGATGTGGTGTCCTGCTTTATGGTCTCCTCGGTGTCCCTTAGCCGGTCATCGATGCTGCCTGCTGATGAGCTGCTGCTAAAAGTTCGGATAATTAATCACGGTCCCAAGAGCCTTGGAGTTTGCCATTTATTACGCGCCTGCCTGCCCTGCCTGCCCTGCCAGCCCCTTTTCTGGAGCCTCTTGTAGATGTCTAATTACTCAGAGATGTTGCAAGTTGTTCCATGAATTACGGCGGCAGTACATGGGTGGGTACTTGAGTTCCCTCGAGTGGATTTTCGGGGCTGCATGCAGCAAGTCATTTTCCATGCAATTTGCCATGTTTAATCAACTTAAAGCCGAGAGTCATATCGACACGTGGTATTTTTCAACGAGCTTCTTTCAAAGATAGGAGAGGAGCCTCAGGAGCGTGGCAATCAGCATGGATAATGAAATGGAGATTGTGCTACTGTCTGCGAGGTTATATGCGAGGGGCAATGTCATCGATTAGGTTCTCGGTGTGTGGTGTGGTGTTCTCGGAGGGCGACAATGACCGCAAGTCCAGGGCTTCCCTTTGCCTCAGAGTGCGAATGAAGCAAGATGAATAAATGAGTGAATGGATGGTTGGCTAGATGGAATGCCAGGCAGTTCATTAGTGTGTAATTGTGAGGGGAGGGAGAGAGAAGAGAAAGTGCGCATCGATTTGCATTTACGAATTGAATTCTCGAGTGTCCAGAGCGCAGTGGCAATGACCGCAGAGCCACAGAGAATGGACGACATTCGACATCGACCATGCGATGGGCCGGGCCTTGGTTCTTTGTCCTCGAGGGGTTAGAGGTCACCTCCCCTCCTACTGCTGCTGCCTTTTTGGGGGCAGGCTGCAATTGAAATTGTTGCGGTTGGCTTTACAAGTAAATTGTCAGAGAGCCAGAAGGCTCTCTGTGGTGGTAAATCCCCACACACCTCCATGCACCTGCAATCCCCTGCAGCCCATGGCCCCAGCCCCACTCCCACCCTCAGCAATTGAAAATGCAATTTAGCGTGTGAGAGCAGTCTTTTCCATGCCATACCCTGGACTTGCAACAGTAGAAAAGGTTTTATGGCAGCCTCCTCCATTCATCCTCTCCCTAGGGACATCGGAGAGGCCACAATCAATCACTCATATCAATATCAATCAAAGTTTCTCAATTTCAAAGGTATAAAGGTTGAACTTTAGTTGGTTATAAATAATGAAATTATCCATCTAAATATGTACCAAAAATCATTGGAATCGGCTGAAAAGTACAAACACTCATCATTAAAAAACATTAATAATAATGGAAATTATGCTGTGATCCTGATGCTGTGACAGGGTATCCCATTTGTCTGTAGCATATTCTTTCTTGTTTTCGGTCTTTCTTCTCGTTTTTTTCTGTCCGTTCCGCTTGCACTCGTTTCTGTTATATGGCGCATCTCGTCGATTTCATTCGCTTTTTTCCAGCGCGGCGCTGTCTGCTGTTCAATCTTTTGGCCTTTTGTTTTGTCAATGGAAAAACCACACACCCAAGAACCACCAACACCCACCACCCACCAAGCATCAGTGTATGTAACAGCGATTTCGATGAATTTCGTTGCGTTTTACCCGGTTTTCCCGTTACAGTTTTTCGCTCTCTCTCTCTCTCTGCCTTTCTCTCTCTTTTTTTGTTGCGCTTTTCATTTCGTCGCCTTTTGTGTGCGTGCGTTGCTCACTTCTTTGGGCATACTCAAGCTATTTCTTTTTTCTCTGTTCTACGATTTGAAGAACGATTTGGCAAAGCCGTTTCCCATCTGTAATTTATGTCTCGAAATCCCAGATTTTAAATGGAATTAATTAGATTAGTTCTCACATTCAGCCCCACTTTTGGGGCTGAGTTTGGTCTGCCACTCATTAAAGCTTCACTTTCTCCGTGGAAAGCAAGGGGGGAGTAGGAGCACTGACTGGGATAACAGCGGGGTAGCGAGTGGCACCACTTTATATTGTACAAACCAATTGCCACGCGCCGCATGTGGCAAGTGCCACGCCCATGCCATTTCCGATATCTACCCCACCCCGGCATATCTGCTTGGCAATCAGAAATAAGAAAATAAATATTAGAAAGGAACAAAAATATGGAAAATGAAAAATGAAAAAGAGTCTGCAGGGCGCGTGTGTGTGTGTGTGTGTATGTGTGTGGGGGCGTTGGGGCATGGCCCTCCTGCTGTCTGCAAAAAGCAAATCAATCAAAGAAAATGTTTAATATTTTTCGCTATGCGCTTCACAGGACGCGCAGCACGCGGCGTCGTTGACACAAAACGAGAATGAAACTGAAGCTGAAACACCGCCAAAGAAAGCTGCCAGAATGTCGAAGGCCAGGGACAGGGACAGGGACAGGGACAGTGGCATGGGCAGGGGCTGAGGAGTGGCAGGACGAACTTCACAATTGTCTGCCTTTGTGTCAGCTGTCAATTTTTTTGTTGTGTGTCGCGAACGATGACTTAGCTGGGAAGGCAACACATCCCTCAGATACAGACGTGTAGCTCTCCAGGAATTTTGAAGCGAAAAGCGTAAACATTTTCCCAAGTCTGTCCGTTCCTCCGACTGCCTGCTGGTTCTTCGAGTACAGTCCTCGACCAGAATCAACATAAAAAAAACAAGAAAAAGAAGCGGCTAATGATCTCAAATGTGCTTACCCCTTAGCCCCATCTCTCTCACGCCACCCACTCGTATCCTTGTCGAAGTCCTGCAACAAGAACAGCAAATAATAATAAGAATGATAATAATAATATTGGAAAATAAATTGCTCTCACTCTCTCCGTCTCTGTCTCTGTGGCAATTAGAGAAGAGAGCGGCTCGGGGGGCATACGTGTGGCAGTGTTGCCAGGTGACATATGCAGCAGAGTCGCCACCCACACACACACACACACACGCGCGCGTTCTTTCTGTTCTGCTTCATCGTTTATCTTCGTCAATGCTTTTTGATTTACGTGCTCTCGGTGATTGCCTTTATCTCCTCCCAGCCCCAGCCCCAGCCCCAACCCCTACTCCCGAGCACGCCTGGTAGCCCCACCTTGCGCTGAGACAACCCTGCCCTGCCCTGCTGTGAGCCGCTAATGTGCCGGGCCAAAGGGCGCGAGGGACGAACGAGGCATTTAAACACAATTTCCTTAAACAACAACAAAAAAATATTAAAAAACGTGAAACAGGAAAAGGCTGTGGGAAATATATGGGAAACACCATGGGATACCCTGTATATAATGGAGTTTTGAGAACCCTTTGGTAGCGAGAGTAACTATCTGTCTATACATATATG